TTGATCATTTTTCATTTAGCCGACAATTTTCAAAACATACCTAAAACCAAAATAGTCAAATCGATAAACGCACGTATTTCAATGTGCAGTCGGCGCTGGATAAGGCCGGCGTTCGAATGTTTGCCTGGGCACGCCAGTTGCACGCAAGGGCTAGACGCAAGTAATAAATGTGATGTACTTACCAGAAATACCGTGGATTCAATTGTTTCAGCTGCCCACGATACTTTTAGTTTGCAGATCTATGGCAGATCTTTAAAAAACGTGTGGTCGAGAAGACCCCTTTTATTAAAATATGCACTGTTTCTTAGTTGACAGAACAATTGCAATGTTGCCACTTATTTTTTTTACCTTTCATCTTCTTATAAACAATGAATAATATTTCACTGCTCAAATATTTTTGTAGGTGACAGTGTTATAAAAATATCAGATGTCCCAAAGAAATACCCAGATCACAAAGTTACCCCGGTTTACGGTACTGAATTTATTCATTTAGATTTTTTTACTTCCAATTTCATTTTTAGTTTTATTCATTGTAGAATTGAGTATGTGTTGTATTCAATTTTTTCCTTCATATTTCCTGGACAGTTCGAAATCCTAATAAGTACATTGTAACCAGACAATTTCCTTTTTGTTCTAAAATTATAATGAGTAAATTCAAATTTGCCGCATATTTTGCCAAATCTATTACATTCTACAGTTCTCAACACACCAAATGGACCACTCATAATTTCGATATCAGATGTGATGTTTCATCGGCTTCGAAGAGAGCTAGAACACTCTGAAAAAGTCCGCAAACCAAAACTTACACAGGGTGTAAAGTGGAACCATTACGCTATGGTCTACATTTCCAATGCTGCCAGAACTCGAGAAATTTTTTTCTGATCAAAAGTCAGTCATATTATGATACACTGGGACCTCATCTCGGGACGTTTTCGTGATTTCTCCTTAATTGGCCATTGGAACAAAAATTCGATTTTTTTTCGAAAGTCTTGCATTTCTTGACTTTTTTCTCTAGAACTCTACTTGAGCTGACTATTGGGAAGAACTATTCTCATGTTTTATGGAGGATAATGAAAGACGAAAAAAGCACTTTTTTAGAATATACAGGATGATAAGGAAATAGGACAAAAACTCATTTCAGTAAAAAATCTCAAAAATGGTGACTAAAACTATGGCCCATTCGATCCAGTATATTCAGAAACGGCCTTCTCGATATCCATTATTTATATTAGACTATTGACTCGAGATGTTTTCGAAAATTCGCCTCTAATTGAAACACAGGATGAAAATTTTCAATTCAAACTTGTTTCCTGATATTGATGATTTCCAATATTTATTGCCCAAGTATGAGACACAGAGTATTGTTGTTCAATGTACTGAGTGTTCTACAACTTATCTGACAAATTTATATCCACTTTATATCCACTTAAACTATTCGAAAAGGGATCTATTGGCGAAATATGACATTAGTGAATTCTTCAGCATTATGAAGATCCAACAAGAAAAGTCGTCCTATATCCTAAATTTCAGTACTTGGTAGGCCTCCCCGATTCAACAAAACCTCATGAAATCGGTTTGGCATAGATTCTATGAGGTTGTTGATGAAGTCTATTGATATTGCCGCCCATTCTGGATAAGGTTGTCATTATTTTGGGGTGCCTCGCGCCTTCTCGATAGGTTGAGTTTCATTAGGCTCCACACATGTTCAATCAAATTCAGATCTGGAGATAATGCTGGTCACCACATTCTTCTAACATTATTGTTTTCTAGAGTTCGTAATTTGTCAGATAAGTTGTGGAACACTCAGTATATTGAACAACAATGCTCTGTGTGTCTCATACTAGGGCAATTAATATTGGAAATCCGTTTGTAAAAAGATAAGAATCATCGATATCAGGAAACAAGTTTGATTTGAAAATGTTCATCCTGTATTGTCCTATTTTCTTATCATCCTTTTCGAATAGTTTTAGTTGTTTTAAAGTGTTACAAATTTCATTTTCCATCTCGTTTCTCTTCTATAAAATATTTTTGTGATAGACTTCTTATATAATATCGTGGTTGTGGTTGAAATTTGTCAGATAAGTTGTAAAACACTCAGTATATTGAACAACAATTCTCCGTTTCTCATACTTGGGCAATAAATATTGAAAATCATCGATATCAGGAAACAAGTTTGAATTGAAAAATTTCATCCTGTATTCCATTTCCCATACAACACATGGACATCCGATGGATGTCCATAGGATATCCATTCAGGATATTTTGGATATCCAATGGACATCCAAATAACGTCCAATGGATATCCCATGGACGTCCAATGGATGTCCTGAGGCCACCAACTTGTACGTCCATAGGATATCCTTCACGGACGTCCATAAAATATCCTTCAATGACGTCCATAGAACATCGTTCAAGAACTTTTGGGTAATCTCAAACAACGACAAAAATAATCAAATCAAGATATCATTGATATCAATATTCAGATAAAATATGAGAACAGTCTGATGCGTAATGCGTGCTGATGCTCTGATGCTGTTGACCTTTATTGTCACAGTCTCAGGACTCTCAGGTCACAGTCACAACTGTCACAAGTCACATTGGATAGAAAATGACAGTGGCACAGAAGTCAGAACTTATTTGAGTTCTGTAGTCTGCGTTCGCGTCATGGACCCACCATATATCTAATAACATCTATATGGGTGACAAGATCTCTGAATTGAAGCCAAAAAATTGATAACAAAAGACAGTCTACGGGCAAATTGATACTAAGGCGCATGAGCCGAACACAATAAACGACATCAGTTCTACTCTGTTCTATGCGCATCTGTTAGCTGGCGAGTGAACGTATGATTATTCATTGTCTCGCAGACTGTCATTTGTTTCTCAAAACTGGCTTCAATTTTGAACAAGGAAAGGATAGGACGTTACCCATATAGTTGTTATTAAATATATGGGACCCACATGGACATCCAAAATATGTTTGGTGAGTCCGACACTGCCGACTTTGTCGACATCTCTATGTTATTCTGGGCGTTATTGTTCAACGACGTGGTTCAATGCTCCAATACAGGATATCCCATGGATATCCATTGGATATCCAAGAAGACGTTGAAAAATTCCATATTCGATATATTATATATTTCCTAGTAATATAACTATGTACACACATAGATTTGAATTTTCATCAATTTAATTCATATTCACAATTTATTACATTGATTATATCCGCGCGGGTGAATTTTGGATATCCTATGGATATCCAAAAAGGTCCAAGGATATCCCGACATGAATTGGACATGATTTGGACGTCCATAGGATATCCCGTGTTGTATGGGTTAGAGGCGAATTTTCGAAAACATCTCGAGTTAATAGTCTAATATAAATAATGGATATCGAGAAGGCCGTTTCTGAATATACTGGATCGAATGGGCCATAGTTTTAGTCACCATTTTTGATTTTTTTCACTGAAATGAGATTATGTCCTATTTTCTTATCATCCTGTATATTCTGAAAAAGTGCTTTTTTCGTCTTTCATTATCCTCCATGAAACATGAGAATAGTTCTTCCCGATAGTCAGCTCAAGTAGAGTTCTAGAGAAAAAAGTCAAGAAATGCAAGACTTTCGAAAAAAAATCGAATATTTGTTCCAATGGCCAATTAAGGAGAAATCACGAAAACGTCCCGAGATGAGGTCCCAGTGTATCATAATATGACTGACTTTTGATCAGAAAAAAATTTCTCGAGTTCTGGCAGCATTGGAAATGTAGACCATAGTGTAATGGTTCCACTTTACACCCTGTGTAAGTTTTGGTTTGCGGACTTTTTCAGAGTGTTCTAGCTCTCTTCGAAGCCGATGAAACATCACATCTGATATCGAAATCCGCATGGAGATCGGACAATTTAAAAAAAAAATACAGGTCTTCGAAATAGAGTGAAATTATGAGTGGTCCATTTGGTGTGTTGAGAACTGTATTACATTTTGCTACCAAGATTCAGTACAAACTTAAAACAAACTACAAACTGACAATAACGAAATTTCCTAGGGTTAAGTTAGCAGTGTTGCCAGAGCTGGTACATTTGTATAGATTCAGTACAATTCATACCCTTTAGTACAGTACAGTACAGTAGTACATTTCACCCATATATTCAATGACGGCTAAATGGACTGTCTGACGGGTTATACATGACTGTTCATTCAGCGAAAATCGCCAAATCGCCCTGTAATGAAATTTTGAAAGGACGGCAAGTGGCGTCATCTATTTCCTGTGTCAAATGAGCTATTCAACATGATTCAACATAGCCTGCATTCATGATCCTGCATTATTTGTTGACAAATTTTCTTACTGTCAGACAGTCACTCAAGATTGGAGAGCTTTGTTCGAGATACCAAGTAAAACTGGGAAAAGGTCAACATTGTCAACAAAATGAAGTGGTTAGGGGTGTTCATGCCAAATAACGGTATTATATGCATGAATAATGCCATTCAAGTGGAAATCATCTTCGTCAATTCGTGAATAGGTAAGGACATGTTCAATTATTTCATTGATTGAATTTTTAACTGCCAGATACTGCTGTATTCTCAAAGTGAAATGTACTGCAACATTTCATATTGTTTCACAAAATCTGTGATCTCAAGTGATATTCCTCAATTTGTATTTTCAGGAAGATACTGAATTTTCTCAACACAATGTTGAAGCAGCTCTTCATGAGGTTTGATTGAATGATGACTGGAGACATTCAATTCTGATGATGCTATCTATGCATAACCAGAAGTTAGTTTTATTCATTGTAGAATTTATGTGTTGTATTCAATTTTTTTCTTCATTTTTCCTGGACAGTTCGAAATCCTAATAAGTACATTGTAACCAGACAATTTCCTTTTTGTTGTAAAATTATAATGAGTAAATTCAAATTTGCCGCGCATTTTGCCAAATCTATTACATTCTATTACATTTTGCTACCAAGATTCAGTACAAACTAAAGCAAACTAGAAACTGACACTAACGAAATCCCTTAAGGTTAAGTTAGACCCAGCCGGAACAACACTGAATACTGTGAAGTGTGAATACACAGCTGATACCTGTGGATAAACCAGGAGGTTTTCTATGCCAGGATTATTCTGAAAACCCAACAAAAAAAGTTTTCGAGAAATCGTCTGGATCAACATGAAAACTACCAAGGCGATAATCACAATATCAGCATTAGATCAGGTGAATAATACGTTTTAGGTTATGAGATGTTTAATAAATATTCAACTTTCAAGGAAAATAATAAAAAAAATGTCAGAAGAACTCTCAAAGATATTCAGAAACATGCATCTGATAAAGAAAATCTGGTAGGGAGATCAGGACCACATACTCACAAAGATCCTAAGTCATCCAGGTAGGTATCCATAAAGGTACCTATGTTTTCAGATACCTGATTATCTCATTCTCAATCCATGCCAGAACCAGGAATATTGGAGAAAATGTTTTTGAATGTACAATATCATTTGTGTTATTTCTACTTGTTATTATAATCTCATAGTCTGAACTAGAGCCATGTAATATAAATTGATAGTGCTGAGAGGTACTGATTAATCTCCTTTCATAATTTGAGATTGAACATGAGAAGTGGTTTTGGTATGGGGCTAAGAGGATTTGACACCAATTTGAAACATTTCTTCCACATTACTATACCTTTTCAACTTCAATTTCGGAATCGGTGAGTTATATTTCGGAAAAAGTAATCTCGATTTCAGAATTGGTTAGTTCGATTTCAGAAATGGTAAACTCAATTTCAGAATCGGTGAGATGAATTTCAGAAAAAGTCCATTCAATTTCAGAAATGGTAAGTTGTATTTCAGAATTATTATTGGTAGGTTCAATTTCAGAAGATGAGATCCTTTTATATATTTGAATTGTTTTTAATTGCAAGAGAGAAGATTGTTTACAGTGGATGAACGGTGTTTGAGAGCCCTATGTTGAATCAGATTGAACATATATGGGGTGCCTTCAAGTCAGAAGTGAAGAGCTTCTTGCAAGAGCATCGCCAAAGGGTCATAGCTGGGGATCCGAACAGCTTGCTCAACCAGATAGAATTCAGACTGCGATGTCTTGAGGAATGTGCAGATCATTCAATGAAAATTATAACACCTCAAATGTGTTTGCATTCTCATAATCATGTGCAACGCTATTATCTTCCAGCGATGCGGATGGAAGGCATCTGTGGATTAAATTGAGATCATAATTATGTTATTGAATTGTTTTTGTCAAGTTGAATATTGTAAATATGGTTTGTTAATCTCACATACAATTGGAAACATTTCGAACAAATATAAGATTTTTGTTTCTGAAATTGAACCTACCAATTCTGAAATACAACTCACCATTTCTGAAATTGAATGGACGTTTTCTGAAATTCATCTCACCGATTCTGAAATTGAGTTTACCATTTCTGAAATCGAACTAACCAATTCTGAAATCGAGATTACTTTTTCCGAAATTGAAGTTGAAAAGGTATAGAAGTGTATGTATTGTTTTACTACAGTGAATTGGACAAACCTGATATAAAAAAGAAGAAAATTCAAATGCAGCACAAGTGTATTCAAGTGGGAGAATGTACAATTACTGCTGAAGACTTGACATTGGATGAACCTAGTGCTGATTATTGGAAACGTCTTGCAGAAACTAGAGGTCAAGCACTGGATGATAGTATCAATGAAAATGAAAAGCTGAAAGAAGATATTGCTGCCTTACAGGAAGAAAATATGATTTGTAAGGAAATGCTTGATGAATCAAAACATTTGGTGGAAGTACTACAAGTAAGATCATTTGATTTCTATGGTACTTAATGCATGCAACATTAGTTGTTAAATTTAAACAGATTGCCAAAAAAAGAGGATGCAAACAACAAAGGGATGTTAACAGCTATTCCCAGGGCTATACCAAATTTTGTCTAGACAAATGACTTCATAACAAAAAGACAATATCCTTGAATTATGAAAATGATGAAGATATTAATAGCTACACCACATTATTCCTAGAAAAATGTCTTCATAGCAAAAATCAATATCCTTAGCTTTTTTCAATCAGTTTATTAAGACACCTTGAGAAGCAATAATTTTGATTTCCCCATGACAGAATATTCCACATTCAAATAGTTACATTGCACTTAGGTTTGTGCTAACCACTTGGCTAACCACTTATCCACATTTTACAGTGAATATTTCACTGATAATGAAAAAGTGCTTAGTAAAAATTGCATAGTATTATTTAATCCATGATGGTTTTATTCATGGAATACTGAGAACAACATCAGAACACCTAATGAAAATAAATAATGAAAAACTGCCAATAGTGTCCATGATATGAGGGGTTCAAAGCTGAAGTGAACCAAGTCCATTTTCCATAGATTTGAGATATAGAGATTTGAAGTTGCTCATCAGTGGTTGATTACTATCTCATTCAATCTGATTTTTTCTTGTGACTGACTTTCAGATCAATCATAACTTAAATGTTAGTGCCATCATCCAATCAAAAATTTGAATAGTACCAGCTTCATAAATATTTTTTCCCCTCATATTGGACTTATTTCAATTTTCTAGTGAAGATTCTATGAATTTATAAGAGAAAATCTCCACCTGAGACAAATAAACTTCATTTTTGAAATGAGACTGACTTAATGATTTCTGTAATTTATTATGTTGTTCTACTTATGAACAATTGTTATTTATTTTAGTGATCTGTTAATAAAACTATTAATTATTAACATTAGCTTTATTACTCAAAAATCCATTTCCGCGGCCTTCGCCACACCCTAACAACCTAACAACATCACAATAACAAAAGCACCATCCCCGTCCATCGCACACTGCGCATGACATCTTTTATGTATGTCTAGTTGCATACCTAACATCTCCTTTTTTTTCTTTTTTATTATTACATTATAAATTCAACACATTCTTAAAACCTACGAATATCCGAAACCGAAATCATAAGTTTAACCTGGACGGAGCCTTTACTAATCTACCCTTACTAGTAACAATTGGGTTTTCATACTGTTCCTCCTCCCTATCTGTACTGTGTGTTTCTCTTTCAGATTCAGACTCTGTCTCTCTAATCTCACTGTCACTTATGTCTATTTCCACAGAATTATCTAAGTTGTTGCCTTGGTCACTTTCGCTATCACTCAACTCTAAATAACACTTTTTACCTACTCCTTTTTCCTTTTTCTCATAAAAAGATTTCAAAGCATTATTCCTATCTTCTACCTTTTTATCTATATTGCTATCTGGAGGAACAGTTTTTATATAAATCCTATTTCTAATGTACACAGGCCCATTATCAGTTTTAACTCTATATGACCTATCTCTAAGCTTTTCAAGAACTCTTCCTGGCAACCAAATGCCTTTTGGCTTTAACTGTATGACCACTTTACTATCAGGTAAAATCTCTGGCAATTCTTTTACGCCTGGTTTATTGTAACTTTTATACTGTGCCTGATGAGTTTTTTCCAAAAACTTAGAATACATTTGGTTATCTACTACAAAAGGTTTCAAGGTTTGCTCAGTTACAGGAATAGTTGTTCTTAAATTCCTTGACATCAACAAATTAGCTGGGGATAGGTTTTCCACAACCGACATATTTCTATAATAAAGTAAAGCTAAGTATATGTCTTTGTGTTCTTCTAGAACTTTTTTGAACATGTTTTTTGCTGTTTGGACATTTCTCTCAGCCATGCCATTTGATTTGGCATAGGTGGGAGAACTAATAATATGTGAAAATTCCCACTCTTTACTAAATGTTTTGAATACTTCTGACGTAAACTGAGGTCCACCATCTGAAATAACAACTCTAGGGATACCATGTCTAGCAAACATCGACTTCATGATTTGAACTATGGTTGCACTGTATGTGTCACCAGTTATTTTTTCAATCTCTATGTACTTGGAGTAGTAATCAATTAATATTAGATATTTTTCACCATACAGTTCAAACAGGTCACACCCTACTTTATTCCATGGCAATAATGGTATGTTATGACATATTAGTGGTTCTGGTGTTTGTGATTTAGCAAATTTTTGGCATGTGTAGCACGACTCTATCTTTTGTTTCACGTCATTTGACATTGTCGGCCAGAAAATTGAAGCTTTTGCCAAATCCAAACACTTTTTAACACCTAAATGATTATAATGAATTTTTGTTAGCATTTCTTTTTGCAAACACTCTGGAATTACCAAGCAGTTTCCTTTCAAAATTAAATTTTCATGTAAAGTTAACTCATCTCTAATTTTAAAATAGGGTTTGACACAATCTTTAACTTTTTTAATTGAATTTGGCCACCCTATTAAAATTACGTTTCTTAACTCTTGTAAGGTTGTATCATTTAATGTTTTTTGTTTAATTTCATTTAGCTTAGCATCTGTTACATTTATTTCAGAAACTACTAGGCATACCTGAGCCTGTAACTCATTGTCAAATGTATCTTCACTTCTATCCTGAATATATGCTCTTGACAAAGCATCTGCAATAACTATTTTTTTACCTGACTTATAATACACCTCTATATCATACTTTTGTACTTGTAACAACATACGTTGAAGCCTAGGGGGACATTTATTTAATGGCTTTTTAAAAATCGTAATTAATGGCTGGTGATCCGTTTCTACTTTTACTCTTTTGCCAAAAATATATTCATGAAACCTATTTAAACCAAAACAGATAGCTGCCATTTCTTTTTCTATCTGCGCATACCTTTCTTGAGCATCAGTCAAGGCTTTTGAGGCAAATGCACATGGTAAGTTATTTTGAAGCAAAACTGCCCCCACTCCAGACTTTGAACTGTCTACTGAAATTATAGTCTCTTTATTAACGTCATAGAATTGCAGAACAGGACTTGTAGTTAAAATTGTTTTCAAATTATCAAAAGCTTTTTGTTGAGTTGATCCCCACGAGAATAAAACATCTTTTTTTAGCAATGCTCTCAATGGCTCTGAATTACTTGAAAAGTTTGGAATAAATTTGCTGACATACGTAAGCATTCCCAATGCTCGTTGGACATCTTCTTTACATTTTGGAGTTGTCAACTCTTTAATAGCTCGTAATTTTGACTCATCTAGTGATACTCCACTAGCTGAAATTTGGTGTCCCATGTACTTTATGCTGGATTTTCCAAAATGACATTTTCCTAGATTAAATTTTATATTATTTACTTTTGCTGTCTCCAAAACTTTTTGTAACCTAAGGTCATGTTCTTTTTTGTCTTTTCCATAGATTACTAAATCATCAATGTATAGTCCTGTACCTTCACAACCTTGAAATATTTCCCTAAACTTATGCTGAAATACCTCAGGTGCTGATTTTATACCATATGGTAGCCTCAAAAACTTGTACCTGCCGAATGGAGTGCCAAAAACACATAGATTTGCACTTTCTTCATCAATAGCTATTTGATAAAAGCCACAGGTGGCATCCAATGTAGAAAAAATTTTTGCACCCACCATCTTGGCGGTAATTTCTTCTAATGTGGGTATTATACATTGTTCCCGTATGATACAATTATTTAGGTCTTTAGGATCCAAGCAAATTCTAAGACTACCATTTGGTTTACGTGCTATCACTAATGCATTGACCCAGTCAGTTGCTCCCTCCACTTTTTCAATTATATTTTGTTTCTCTAATTCCATTAGACTCTCTTTTAATTTGGGCAACAAAGGAAGTGCCACTCTTCTAGTAGCGTGAACAACTGGCTGTGCATTCTCTTTCAGTTTTATTTTATATTTCCCTGGTAAACAACCAATACCTACAAATGTTTCTTGAAATTCATCAACAAACTGTTTATAATCATTATTTTCACTTTTCAAGGTCTCTATCTTTTTTATAACACCTATATGTGTGCTTGAGGATAAACCTAAAATAGCCTGTGTATCACTTTCCACTATATAAAATTCTAATTTATACATTTTATTATTTTTGTTGCAATTTAATTCACACATGCCTACTACTTTTAGACTATCTCCTGTATAGGACCTTAGCCTACAATTTGTAGATTTGATTGGAATGTTATACATACCTAAATTTCTCAGATGATTTATAGACAAAACATTGCACATAGCACCTGTGTCAACCTTTAATTTAAGTGTGCAATTATTAACATTTACTTCAGTAAACCACTCATTTTCATTATTTATCATAGTATTTCTGCTTAATAATTCATCTTTTTCTACAGATCCAATATACAGAAATGACTCAGAATTGTTAGTTTCTGAAATTGTATTAATTTCCTTATCTTGTTCCTGATTTATTTCTCGTACATATGTGGAATTTTTACACACTGTAGAAAAATGATTTTTCTTTTTGCATTTTAGGCAAAACTTGCCATAAGCAGGACATTTATTTAAATCATGTGTATTTCCACATTTAGTACATGAAACAATCTTTTTACCTGAATTATATTTTCTATTTACATTTCCAAACTCCTGGTTTTGACTTTTCTGTTGTCCCTTATTTTGTTGTTTTCCCCTGTAGTGTACTGCATTGACCTCTTGTGCATCTTCTGTCCCAGGGTGCATCTCCCTACTCTGCTCCTTGGCGATTTCTAGAATTTTACACTGCTCTATCACTTTTTCAAGTGTCAGGGTATCATCTTGAAGAAGTTTTTCTCTCAGCTCGTTGCTCCTCACACCACAGATGATCATGCACTTGATCAACCCATCCTCCAGGTTATCAAACTTACATTTTTGTGCTTGCTCCTTCAGAGAAGTAATAAATTGCTCAAGGGTCTGTCCTAACTGCTGCCTGCGAGTGAAAAAGATGTATCTCTCGTATGAAAGATTCACTTTGGGCTTAAAATGAGCCTCAAATTTATTCAACAAGGGTTGTAATTTATCTTTTTCCTCTTCTGGAAATGTAAAGGTACTGTATATCTTGAAACCTTCTTTGCCTAGATAGTGCAACAGCTGGGCACACTGTACCTCCTCGGACTTTCTTGTTACCTCTGAGGCTTTGAGATAATTCTCAAATCTGCGTCGCCAAAACAGCCAATTCTCTGCTACATTGCCTTGC